CAATTTTAACATACTGGAGTTTCTTTCACTGTTGCAGAAAAGCAAATTTTTAAAATGAAGAGCCCATGTTCATTACCAGTCATTACTGTCCTTCTTTTACTTTGACACCCTCTTCTCCAAACCATTGCTGGTTTAATTCAGTTATTGCACAGTACTAGGAGGTAGCCTTCTTCAGAGATCATTGATGTTTTTGTTAAATCCATTAGATTTGCCTCGTTATCTTCCACCCACTACAGCTCATGGATTTGCTCGTTTGATTGCAAGACACACAAGAACTGTTTTAGTTAAAAAATGTAATATCCTTTAAGAAACAGAAATGAACAGATAATTCATAGAACTAGAAAAATGTTAGGGAAGTCTGCAGCTTTCTTTGAGAAATTTTGGGGGAGGACTAGGTACAGTATTTCTCTTGGCAGAAAACAGAAATAATTGTCACCAGGGTTGAATTGAAGAAACGTATTGAAAGTGAAAAAGCTTGATGGCACCCGTTTTATACAAAAGAGCTTTTGTAAAAAGGTAAGTGCAAAAACATTGCCTCAATTTGATAAAATGATCACACCTTGAAGGGAAATGAAACCTTAGTATCATTCACTTACTGTAAAATCTTTCACAACTTAAAGTTTTTGAAATCAAAGCCAGAATTCATTGTGATAATCTCAGAGTGTCAGGAAGTGTCACTCATCTGAAGCATGCACACATTCGGACATGTCAATTAAGACTGAGCCGTGATTTTCTCTCTTCCCTTATTTCTAGCTCTGTGTCCATGAATAATGCTAAGAAATGTAAAATACAATAACCAATCCTGGTATGTATATACTCAAATTATGTGCAGATGTGTCTTTACATTTTGGGAAGCTGATTCAACAATGAATTACTATCTCCCTCACCCCTCCATTGGGGAAAAAATATTCTGATAAATGAGAGATAATTACTGTACATCATATAAAGAGATAACTTTAAAATATCACAGTACTAAAATAGTGGTTTCTTCTTCCTGTTGCAAACAGCATTGTAAATTCCTAAGAGTCTTTATAACTGTAGTTGACTAAGCTTTTTTAGCTTACTGTATTCTAGCTAACAAGAGCTTCATGGTGAGCTTGTCTGATACTTTTGGTTATGTGGGGTGAAGGGGGTATTACTAAAGAGTTCTATTTTTCCAGAGAGGGCTGGGGTTGTGTCAGCCCTAACCAGCAAGTGAGGACAGGTGTCAGTGAGAAAAGGTTTCCAGTTTGAAGGTGTAAAGGCAGCTTGAAGGTTCTTGTCTACAGTATCCTCCAGATTCCATCATCAGATTGTATCATTCCCCTGACAATCCATAAAACATGAAAAATCAGGAGAGCACTATATATTTGTCCATTTTATGCACCCTCAGATAAAGTCTGTTAAGTAAAATTTTAAAAAGAAATGGCTTAAATAGTGCAGCACAAGTATGTCAATTTCACCTGTACTAGCAAAGCCTGTGTGCAAAGAGTGCACCATAATTGTGTTTCAAACCTTATACAACCGGCTTTCATAGAATAACATTCAAGATAATTTGAGCTATTCCTTTATCTTTATTGCTCAAAATATCAGGATGTTCGTAAGAGCTGTAACAGCTACCATGAGCTCGATCACAATTTTAGATTTCAAAGTTAAAAGGTAACATAAAAGAAATGTAATTGCATTTTCCCTGACTAAGTTACCGAGGCATTCCAGTAACATTAGGTTACAAAGACAGGAGTCCGTTCAGTCCACCTAGCCCTTTTAATAGTTATTGCAGCTTCTCCAAAATGAATTCTTAATAATATCACAATCTTGAAAAGGGTCAGTGAAGCACTTTGTGATGAAAATCAAATTACAATTAAGTTGCATATTGAATTAAACTGCATGCTCTCCTTCTCCCTCACCTTTAAAGAAAACAATATAAATCCACAGAAAAAACGTTCAGTACACATTTTTAAACTTTACTGCTCACGTTCACTTGCAGTACCAGTACACTCGCTGAAAAGCAATTCAAGATTCCATCAACTCTATTGGCTGTGCCACTCCCCTTCTGTAAAATTGCATTTCTATTAGAATTTGTTGCATAGAGTAATGCTACTGTTTTGCTCCTGATATTAATCATACAGAGAGAAGCTCAATGCATTATAATACTGCCATTGCCCTTGACGGTAACAACTGGCTTTCAGAACTGCTCATTTATAAAAGTGGGTCTAAAGTATCTCATTTAGAAAAGAACACACAGAAAGCCAATAATAGCTTTGAACAAAACACCACAATAGTTATTTAAATTTGATGTCATGGTTTGGACAGTCAGAGGATTAAAGTCAAGCTAGAGTTCATTCAGCTATTTAAAACCCAAATGCAAATTCTTAACATTACTATGGATTTTGTAAACCTTAAGCTGCAGAGCCAAGTAAGAGGAACAAATGTTTTTTACACAAAGAAAAGATTCAGATACAAAATAATAAATCTTTATATTTTGTGGACATGGGAGAATAATAAGGAACCAAGGTTTTATGCACTAAAGAAGTCAGCGTTTTCTATTAAATATTTTTGCCAACTCCTAAGAAATTTGCTGTCGCTCTTTCTAAAATCGGAAAAGCCTTAATTTACTCAGTGGTCTTATTAGTTTTTCAGTTACCAGCGATGTCAATTTACATGGAATATAAAAAATAAACATCTTCCTATCGTTGTAAATTTCTTTATAAATCATCCTAAAAGCTATAATTATCACCATTTACTGTTGATATATAACAGGAAAGCTCATTAATTATTCTGCTGTCACCTATCTAGTATGCACTGCTAGCTGATTAACAACAGAAGTGAAAATGATACCTTCATTATGCATTATTAATGCGTGATAATGGACTCTATGTTCTGTAGATGATATTGATTGATTTTTTTCCAATATATTATGCTGTTCTTGTAATTGGGAGTACTTTATTGCCTCTGAGTCTCTCTCCTCCCATCTAAAAACCTCTGAAGACAACATACTGTAATGTATTCTCTGTATGTTGTTTTTACTGGGAAATGTGTCATTGTACTTCTCATCTCCATGCAAGTACTTTCCCATTTATACACTACGTTTCCATGGAAACTTTCATTGAGGAAGGCTTTCCATAAGCTGCTGCCTGAAGTTGGGACAAAAACAGTTTCAGGTGAGTACAAGCTATAAATCTCAATTCAAACCTCAACAGGAGACGATAGTTTCTCATACATCTCTATGTTAACTATTAACCCAGGTCTACCATGTTAAATAAAAATAAATGAAAAAACATTTTCGCAAGACAAGCCTAACAAATTGGTCTTGTTTTTTTTTTTAGTTTGTTAACATTTTGTCCTCACAGCAAAATCCAATGGTGACAGTCTCCAAAAAAGGACGATATTAGGCCTTTCAATAAACAAGTGGTGTATTCTCAGGGCCCAACAATGCTATAAAAATTAGTTTTAGATTCTTTATACAGATTGCTTAAATATACAAAAAAATCTATATAATAACAAAATAGACGCTTATCAGAAGAAATAAACCTGAAGGGGCAATTTTTTGTGTAATAAGATGCACACAATATCATTAACAAAAAAAATGATGCTGCTTTAGAAGTAGAGAAAGAAAATAGATAAACCCCAGGAAAATTGAGTAAACATACTTTACTGCAATTTTCTTTTGATGTTTGAAATTAAGAAGAGGTGATCAAAGCATACATTTTTAAATCTTTTGTTAAAGCTTTCAACATACAAAACAGTAATGGTCAATGTTCTTTTTATCTCATTCTTTGCCAGCCACTGAGGGCAGCTGTCAGTGAGAAAAGGGTTTCCAGCACTGCCGACAGATCTGCTATTTTCTTTGTCTGCTGGGACTGCTCTGAGAATGCACCCTGACATTGACAACTACCGACAATGGGTACAACTGATTCCTGATTCAATCAGTCCATGTAGGAACATTCAGAAAAAATCAGCGCTTGAAGATTCTAAACATTCAAGTATGATTCACATTTTCCTAAAGTTTAAGGAATTTGGGTTATTTACTGTAAAGTGTTAGAATAATTTCAAAGATCTTTGTTGGAAAGTAATTTGTTCATCATGTGAAAAAATCCACCCTGTTCCAATAAGACAATTTCTGGTGGGAACTGTATGGTGTTTACGATACCTTCTAGTATTGCAAGTTTCCCCAACACTACTTGAACATTAGACATGTTACAAACAAAAGGAGGCAATTCAGCCTGTCTGGCCTATTTTAAAAAGCTAGGAGACAGTGCCATACACTTAAAGGTCCAACAAGCTATGGATAACCTGACTGATGCCCATCTACCACTGGCCATGCATAACCACTTTTCCACTATCACCTTTGCTATTGACAGCCCTGACATAATAGGCAACATTGGACTGCAAAGTTCTGCCTGTTCTCCAAATGCCTTTGCAGTCGACCTTTACTGATACAGCCACATGGCAGATAGTTTTGAAGTATTTTTTCTTTATTATGCTCGCACTTATAAAGCATAATAAAGAAACCCTTCAAAACAAATTGCTTTAACTTGAAAACCATAGCACTGCTGTATCTCTAATAATGTACTGCAAATCTCAGACCTTATGCAATACGCTTTTTATGCACAGAGAGCATGATAGTCTGGCTTTCCCTTTAACTTCTTGCCTAAAAATGCTTACATGAGGCAACTCTTTGCCCTCGTGTACTGAGGTGCCACTATAATACCATAGCAATAAAATGGTGCTGCTTTAAAAAGTGTCTAATGAAAGCAATACAAAGTACTCCTTCTAAGATAAACTCCAGAACTGTAAATAGGCTGGGTAGCAACATCTTAGTAAAAAATACATTACTGAAAATGTACATTTTATGTTTGAAATTAAAGACATTTTATTATTTTAAATTATGAACATTTTATTATTTTGCTAAAGCTTTACATGTGCAAGACAGCAGTGGTCAATATTTCATTTTATGATCACTACTGTGTAATTTGCAGGCAAGTTACACAATCTTAAAATAAAGGGAAATGGAAACAAAATATGGGACCTTCATAGGTCAATATGAAATATTTTATTGTCATCTGTTGGCCTAGGATTCTAACTCTAACAGTAGCATATCATAACACTATTAATATTATTTTTTGACATAGAACGACTTAATTATTTTGCCAGATGTGATGAGGTATGGCACAGTATGGCGAACAGAAAAATAGTTAGTTGGGATTCTCTTCTTCCTCCTGTTTGAGCCTCTTCCTGAAGTGTTTTCCAATTGCCTCAAACGGATTCACCTTGAAGGCTGTGTTGCTTAAAACTTCGGTAAACTTGGATGTTTCATCCTCCCTGCAAAAGAACACAAGGTTCTTCTTTAATTATTTAGAGATGTCCGGTTCACACTGCCAGGCACTCTTGACCTCACATGAGTACAGGGCATCCATGATCAAATATGGATCATCCTATCTCACCTTTTGTTGAAATTCTTAATTGATTCCACCAGCTACTGAAAAGATTCAGTATCACCCCAGAATGCCTCCTGCCCCCCCAGACATTGGCTTCCTATGATGAGAATTAATGATAACCTTCCTGCTATCCCAAAGTGTAAGGTAATCATGGTCAGTGGGTTATTCAGCCCACAGGTCTCAGTGCGGTCTCGGTATACCATGAAAAGTACAGAATAGAGTGGCTGTCTCGTATCCATCACAGCATAGTAAGAAATGTATCTGGTTTCTGTTCCAAGTACAAAAGATATGATATTAATTTGACCTAGTCATCCACACCATTTAGTTGTATAATACTCAAGCAGAGGGAAGCCCCGAGGTTAAACTATACAGAGCAGTGATAGTCATTGTATTATACTCATGTGATTGAGATTCTCCACTACACGTGCACTGCATTCATTCTGAATGATTCCCTGATAACAGATCTCTAACCAGCAAATGAAAAAAATTAATTGTGCAGGTGGGTAACGTGTAGGGACTTCTTTTTTTATTCTTTTCAGGTCTGTGCCTGTCGCATCTCACACAACCACAGGGGCATCAACCATATTATCTATTCTTTGGAAGAATGATTAATGAGTATTCTCAATTTCAGTCAAGACATAACTTACAACAGCTTGCGCTTCTGAGCTGGTTTCATCTGACTGAAGTCAGTAGGTTCTGGTTTCTTCTTTACTGGTCTAATGGAAGAAAAGAAAAAGAGTCTGTGACAATTTCCCTGCAGGAGAAACTTGCTAAAATCTTGTGGAATTTTTTTTAGTGTCTGTAACACCCTAAAACTGGAGATTTTCTCACATTAATTAAAAAGAAATTCTACTCATGTCTATGTTACAGAAATAGTAACACCTTTTAACAACTGAAAATTATTACAATTTTCTGAAATTCACCAAAAATGTCCTACTGAGCTCACGTAAAATAAACAGCATATTCTTATTTGTGACATATTCCACATTTAAACATTTTTTTAGCATAAACAAATCAACAGCAGCAAATACTTAAATGTAGCAATTTATACAATTTCAGTTACCATACTTCATATACTGTATAAATTACTCCCAGTGCATCCTATTTCATGGAGGTTCTGAAGCAATGTGAATATTAGATACATCTATATTATGTATTTTTACTTAAATAGAATAAAAATGTTAATAGATTTGTTCCTTGTATGTTAAAATTTTAAATGTCAGCATACAGTCCTGGGTATAACATGGAATTACAATTCACTGAAGTGCCTGCAGTCACACACAATACATATATTTTTATTATATTCACAATTAAAGTGAATGTGCAAAAATGCACAAAGTAATATGAAATTCAGGAACACACTACCTGCCAAATTTCAAGGAAAACAGTGCAAACTATATATACAGAGTCTGGAGATTTATAAACAGAGATTCTGATTTTTACATTTTGTATCAGCTAAAATGTTTCCTTTAAATTATCCATACGTTTTCTAACCACTTTATCCAGTATGGAGTCACAGAGGAGCCAGAGTCTATTCTGGCAAACAAGAGACGCAAGTCAGGGTACACCCTGGACAGGATGCCATTCCATCACAGGGCACACACACACTCCTACCAGGTCCAGCTTTCCTAGGGAGCCAATTAAGATTGCAGCATATTTTTGGATTGTGAGAGAAAACCCAAGCAAACACACGAGAACACTGAAACTTCTCACAGACAGCACCCCAGGTCTGAAATTGAACCCAGGGCCCCAGTGTTGCAAGGCAGCAATGCGAACCAGTGTTACCATGGCGTTACCATGAAAGTGTTAAACATGAAAGAGTGTGCTGCATCATTTTAGAAAACTTGCATTTTAATAAAATGAATACATGAAATCTTACTTCCTAGAACAACCAAAGTGTTGTGTTGCACATTCGGTGTAGACACACAAGACAGAGGCCAAGTTCTAAGAGGTGCAAGTTAAGCCTTTTGAGTCTGATGGACATAAAAAGCATCAACAGAAAACAACTGGGAGCGATTTAGCAAAAGCTTGCTTTTTCACTGAAAGTTAAATACTTGAACTTATTTGCAAACACTGAAAGTTTTGTTTATAATATTAAGAAAAATGTGTTTGGGGAAAAAGACATGAATGTGTGTTTACTCATAAGAGTGTGTCATGGGATGGAAAAGGTTGAGAAATACTGCGTTAGAAACATTCAGTACTTTTGGTGGGGATGTAGGGATGATGTTTAAGACCATATATATATATATGTATAAGATGGATTAGTAAAATACCAATGTCACTGGAGGTAAAGAATACCCTGGTTCCATCATCTTGGGATCAGTGCTATTTTCTCATTAAGCACACACGTGAAATTGGTGCTCCTAGTGCCTAATGGTCTACGGATTGAATATGTTACACTGGCAGGGTATCAATGTACCAGCAGCACTAACTTATGTTATAAAGATCAGGAAAAACATTCTGAAATGAAAAATCATCTGTTTTTTAGATGAAAAATCGTCTGTTTCATTGCTAAAGGCATATCTTTGGATTTATCTACACATTATCAGATAGCTAATTACTCATGTTGAGGGTTGTAGAAAACCACAGATTATTCCAAAACCATAGGGACATTGTCCATCACAGGGTGCACACAGGGATAGTTTATAGACACCAGTTTACATAGCCAGCCATGGAAGCTAAGCAGAAACCTGAAAATCAAAGTGAATATGGGGAAAACAAGCAAACTCCAGACAGAAGACACCCTTATCTGGTGTCTAAATGGTATCAAAACCATGACGCAAGAGCTGTGAGACAACAACGCTAGCCATAACACTACTGTTCTATCTCTAGATTAAGAAAAAAAAAGTCAGATAATGTATTGCTGGTATTTATGAGGAAATGTATATATTCATTGTGTACTGAGTTCCTTTCCTGAAAGTATTGTTGAGTATCTGAGGAATTTTACCTGTCTTTGTTCTTAAAATTTACATTTGAGTGTACATTTGAATAAATATGTTTTGTTCTTAAAATTTACATTTGTGTGCTTTTATGGTCTGATAATTTAAAATGTAGCCTATATTATCCATGGTATACAGTAAATTATCAGACTTTTGTCCCAGGAGGTTAAAATGATGACTTACAAGATAAATGAAGAAGAACAGTTTAAATGAAAACCTGACCCAAAGGATCAGACAAAATGTTCTACTTACTGTACAATCCTTTATTACAGCATCTATCACATTTATGTTTCTGAACAACAAGGCAATCTTCTGTTCTTTTTTCCTAGGATTCTGAGTAAAACCAGACATGCAACTTGTGCTGCCAACAAATTCCTTTATTATGAAATTTTCTAAGTGAAACATTATTAATAAAAAAGGTTTTCCCAGGGAACTGTAATGAATCAATTCTGACACTATCATTTGAGTGCCCCATGCGCAACATATGGTAACTGTTCAACAGGAAATAGCTGCTGACAATATTACTCTTTTCCTTGGCTTATTTGGAATCAAAATGGAAATACAATTCTCTGTCAATGCAGGTGCTGTAAATACCAAAGCCATACATCTAAGTGACACCACAGAAAATGAACAAACATTCACTCTTTGAGCTAATAATTCCAGTAGCTAAATACCTGTCTCAAAACAGTCTTAATAATGACACCCTGAGAGAGTCATTGCAGTTGATCTGTACTGTTTTTGTTTTTTCAAATGACAAAAGAATTTGCCCAAACACAGAAAGAACTTCACCTGCTATTTCTCGGGCTTTGTTTATAATTAGCTGATGGTACAGCCTCACCCTAATATTTAATCTTTTATAAACTCCCCTGAGAAGACAAACCTTTATAAAGATTAAAAAGACAGTAGTTAGGAACTGCTTACACAATGTAGCTCCATTTCATCCCAGAAGTTTTGTACACTGTAGTGTCAAGAAAAATAAAACAAATGATGAATGAAGTCTAGTGGAAAACACTCTGCTGCTTGCCAGTCAATCCTAATGAGTCCTAAAATGGGATTCAATCTGACACTCTCATGGAAAGGCAGGCCTCAATTTAGAAGTCAGTGGCCTCAAAGTGCTTCTAAAATAAGTTTTTTTAAATCTCAGACAGGACAATGACAGTATGGGCTAAGTCATCAGAAGAATGTCTACAGCCACCTAAAAGGAGAAGGAAGAAGCAAGATTACATATCTGGCTTTGTATAGCAAAGAACTTATAGAAGGTAATAAAAAAAGAAGAACATAAAAGGAAATATATGTCACAAGAATGTTTGCTTTTTAAAAGATGAGTGTATGCTAAACACAGGTATTTTTCACGATAAAAATTCACTTTTAATATAAGACAATAAGTAACAGTCTTGATTAAATTTCTTGACAGACATTCACACAGTAGATTGTATTTACTCTGTAAACTGTAAACATAAAAAAATCTTAACCCCCCCGTGGGTTTTTTATAAGGAATTCTTACTCATTGAGCTTTTATGAAGAAAACAACTGTGTAAATCTGTGTACAAAGCACAGTGAGTAATATGGCCTTGTACTATATGTAATCACAATATCCTAATGAACAAGTAAATTAATTAATTGTGACAAATATTTTTGATTTGCTTTCTAGTAACAGTATTGTGTTAAAAATCAGAGGCCTGTACCCATTCTTTCTATGCTGGTCAGTTGCTTGGAATAAGGTTTCAGGAATTAACAAACTGTGAATTTCAGCAACATTCTCTTCTCACATTGTAACATTTTTTAAATTCCAAAAAACACAAAAACAAGAAAAACCTCTGAAAACCAAGAATACATGTACAGTCGATAAAGGTGCACATTTCACAATTCTTGGAACAGCTGGATACTTCAGAGACTGTACTGAAAAGAAAATCCTACTGTCTTCCTTCGGGTTTTGTAATATGTTGCAGCAAACGAGTAACAACGACTAAAACCTGAAGCTACAGTATGTGAAGGATATAGAGCGACACCCTACCAGATGTGTTTAGGCATTTGAAGCTGAATTTTAAAATACCCAAAAGTACTCTGTATCAGTGATCATACATCTGCTTTAATGGTATGACAAATTACAGGTTATTGCCAAGGGAAAATAAGATACGCACAGAGATGTTATCAGCCTGGGCTTCAATTTGTACCTGCTAGTCACTACCTTAATACAATTTACAAGGCAACTTTGAAATTAATTTACCTTTTTCATCTCCAGATAAGACAAAATTCCAAACTACATTTAGAATTAAATATAAACATATGTATACATGACATAGAGCAGATCATCACGAGAAATTATGGTTATGACAATTAATTAGCTCTTGCTGTATCACATTGCTTGAGGGAGGGAACCATTCTACAACTTCTATGTCTGCATTTGACTTTATATATGCAAAAGGTGGAATGAGAAGTCGTACGGTAGTTCAGTCAAGCATTGTGAAATGGCAAGAACTAATTCATTTGCATAATATATATATTTCTGTTTTCAAGCCGATGTTTGTTTGTAGATCTGTTAATTTAACATTCATTTCAGATTTTTGTAGTTGGCAGGTAATTGATCCAAGGTACTAGTTCAGCAATTTCTTGAAGGAAGTCAAGGTATCGGTGTCAACAATTTGACTGGGTATCTTGTTCCATTGTCTCACAGCTTTTCGGATACAGCAGTGCCTCTTGTTCTTGTTTTTTTTTTTCTTCCATGTACTGTAGTCTCCACTTGTGCCCTCTGGTTACCGTTTCACTGTTCCTTCTGAATGTTTGGATCAAGTCCACACAATCTTCTCTGTTTAAGACTAAAAAAGTTCCGTTCTTCCAGCCTGTCGGTGTCGGACTGTGATGAAACACATGAAGCTGGAGTGATGAGAGTAGATCAGAGCACTAGGAACAGCATGCCACTACTACAGAGATCATCAAAGTGGCCCTGTGCTTTCCGCATGGAGAAGGCAGAGAAATCAGCTCTCTAGTGCTGCCGATTTCTCTGCTGAAATAAGTGAGTAAGAGTGTGACCAGGCAGAGTGTGTCTTCAGCCAGAGTTGCCGACCTGTAACATTGCAGTTATGACAAAAGCCTGAAAATCAGTTCAGGGCAAGATAAAATCTCATACTATAGTTTAGATAATTGGACTTTGACATTGTGTCAGACAGCCTCGGGCCAAACAAAACCTATCTGTCAATACTCCAAATAATTCAGGGTTATAGAAAAGCTAAGAGCTAGTGAGGACAAGTGAAGTGAGGGTTAAGGACCTAGGCCAAAGGAAGTTAGGGTAAAACACTGGGTCGATCCTCTCTAATCTACTGTATATAGATGCCTCAGTAACACAAGATAATTACAGGTTTATGTACATAGGTCCTTCCAGCCAAGCTACCTTAAGAAAGGATCTGTTACAAGGACATTGCCTTTAGCCCTGGAATATATCTCATTGCTCGTCTCTTGACTGCATTGCAGAGCGGTGATATCCTTTTTGTTCTCACTGCTATTTTGTACAGGGTTGTACAAAATATTCTAAATGAGGCTTGTCTAGTGCAATGCACAATTTGGACATAACATACCTGTATCGGAATTTTATACTTTTTACTATATAGCCAAACATTTTGTTTACGTTTTTTATTCCTTGTCCAAATTGTTTGGAATATGTAAATGATGTGTTAACAAACACCCAACCATAATTTTCATCTTAAATACATGCTGAGTAAATGGCCAAAAACTACTTAATATGTAGCAAACTAGACGTAATTTCCACAATGAAGAAAGAGAAATCTTGTGCTCTGTTTACTAAACAAGCAATTTCTTGACAAACTGAAAAACAGAAAATGCAAAGCCAGCTACAACTAATCTCCAAAGGACTTTGAAAAATTCAAGTAACAAAAACTAAGGGCAACTTTTAGCTTGATTGATACTGCTATTTCATGGACCCTGCATCTTACACTATGTACTTTTGAGACTGATCAAGTACAGATTGGCTCACAATTCAAATAAAATAGGTTATAATTAAAAAGGATATCACCCAAACATGCACTCCCTTTTCCCCATACTCAGTTTTTCCACTGTCTTTTCTGCAAGGCATCTTTGAATCACAAACAAAATATATCAGTTATGTACAATAATAATTAACATGGGAATCTCTAAGATTATGTAAGATTTGCTACAGGATTAAACATAAAATTAAACATAGCACTACAATCGTTAAAAAACATTTATACCAAGAGTTACAAGCTGCAGTACAGCAAGAAAGACCAACTGAGTTCATAGCTCTAATTAGGAAAATTACTGTTCAGGTTCTTAATAAAGACACTGACATCGTTTTTTCATCTTTTTTATACATTTCAAGGTTTATTTTCCAGCATTAAAGTCTAAACTTTTTACCACCAACTGGCATGATACTTTCCTTTTATCTTTACATTCTTTAATTGTTCTTCTATCTGGATTCCTACCTGTCTACATATTTTACAGTCCACTGAGTCCTCTTTAAACAGGACTGTTATTGAGTACTCAGAACGTGGAGGGAAAGAGAGGTGTCATGGAATGAATAATCTATATTTAAGCAAAGAACACTAAGAGCTGCTGTGTTAGTTGGATGCTGTTGTTTTTTTTTTTTGCCTTTAGCATTTTCAAATGAATCCGATGATTAAATCTTTAAATGCCTGAAACAGAAAATTCAAAAGCCTCATCGGTGCTTGTCTTAATGGTCTCAGATGGTAGCACAATGTGTGCCAGTAAGGTATGACATCCTGGAGCTTTTGTTACACAGGAGAGGTAAATCGTCTTGTTAACTACATGGAAATTCAAAATACCATTTTTAAATTAGTATAATTTTAAATACTATAACTACTGAATGCTATCAGATGATTTTTTATGCACCTGGCCCATAGCATGTTGAAGGAAATGAATGAAACCTGAACAATTCTACAGCTGTATGGCTGCCTAGTTCTAACACAGTATCTGATACCTACTTTGACATTATCACACACAAATCTGAAGGGATGAACTCAGGGTCTATTTTGCAAAGCTGAGGGATATTTTTGTCACAGTAAACTATATTTGAACCCATACATAATAATACTGAGCCTCACCATACCTGGAAAAAATCCATTATATTTACAAGGTAACAGTAAAACAGTTTAATCAATTTATTGGATTATATAGTAGCTTTTATCCCAAAGGATGCCAGACCACTTAACCCACCTCTCATGTGCAGCAGCAAGCTGGGTAATGAGTAGCAGCCATTATGTACCAACAGCACAGCAGATCAGGTACAAAACTGAGGTATTTTTTCACCAACTGAATTAAAAATTAGGAACCTCTGGTAGGTCTGATTATCCCAGTCAGGAGTAAATTTGTCCAGACCATTGGGGGTAAACATAGTGTTTGTGTTAGCTCTCACAAAGACTGATCTTTAATAACCTTTCTTTCAGCCCTGTTTGTTTCTGGGTAACACAGTGATTGAGGCAATTTCTTTTGTCTTCATTAGTTTTTACATCTCTATATTTTATCTGTTGGAGTGGCATGGTGGCATACTGGTTAGTATTGTTGCCTCTCAGTGCTGGGGCCTTGGTTTCAATCCTGGGGGTGTTATCTGCATGGCGTTCACATGTTCTCTATGTATTTTCATGGTATTCCTCCGAAAGTCCAAAGACATACCAGGGTTAACTATGCGTGTTCTAGACTGGTGTCATGTCTATCAAGGTGTATCCCATCTTAAAGATAATGTAAGATCACTTTATTGGCCATATACAATTTTTTGTATTAAGAATCTGTCTTTTCGCATACCCCAACTTGCTCTCCATGAGACAGGGAAAGAAGATTGGGGTCAGAGCACAGGGTCAGCCATTTATACGGCGCCCCTGGAGCAGCTGGGGTTAAGGGCCTTGCTCAGGAGCCCATCAGAGTCGGATTCCTCTGCCGGCCACCAGATATGAACCAGCAACCTTCCAGCCACAGGCGCAGGTCCTTAGCCACACAGCCACAGCACCGCCCTGCATTTACCCAATGCTTTCTGGGATAGGCTCCAGGCCTCTGTGACCCTAAATTAGATAGGAGGTTTTTTAAAGTAATGCGTTGGTGATATTTTAATGTTCTTTTCATTACCTCTTCCAACATGATCAAAATTGTTAATGCAATATCTATCTCACTATCATGGATTAATAAAACAGTTTATTTATGTTTTCAAGTGTGAAACTCTGGTTTAACACACAGATCTATCTAAAACTCTCCATTCTTCACAAGTCTTCCTGCTGTTTTTTTTTTGTGGGGCCCACTGAGGTAGTTATCAGGAGCTTCTAAATTATGTCACAAACTCCTATGACAAAAAATACAGGGAACTTTTTCAACACCTTTTTTTTCCATTCCTGTGGAAAAATCTTCTTAGCCTTCATAAATGCTTGTCACTCTCCAAGGCATTTAATGGTGCAAGCTCTGAATACATGCACATTAACAAAAATAGTATAAACACCTCACACGCTGCCAGTAACAAAAACACACATCCCAGACCACAGCATATCCAAATACAGACTTGAATTGCTGCTACTCTGGGCACTTCAAGACATGGCTGGACAAAATTTTAAATTCATTCAGCTGCTAAACTACCAAACAAGCAAGAAGGGCTGATTGGGCCCTTCTCATTTATAGACCATTATTTGGACTTTGCCTTGCGAACTAAAATTTTTCACAAAAAAGACATATAGAATACCAATAAAAAACTGTATGAGCTCACTTTTCCGTACATTAACACAAGCTTTAAGGAAATACGGGGATTCTAATATTATTGTTCTGTTGTATACCCATTTACTCTCATTTTAAAGCAAATTAGGAAACAAATGCAGTTTTGCTTAAGTGCTTAAGTGTTTGTGGAGCTTTGAGATCATGATCTTTTGAGATGTTAGGAAAATAGGGTCACAACTTTGAAATACAAGGGTAAATTTCCCAGATTAAAACAATCGTGAACAAAAATGATTTAATAACAGCAATGAATAACTGTTAGGAGGCAAAGCTCTATTTCAGTACTTTACTCGGGAGTAAAAAAAGCAACCAAAATGTAAACAGACTTTAGAAATAATCAGGTATGTAAAAGAATGTAAACTAAAATGTAATTTCTACCAGTTTGTCAGCTTAGGTATTGCGTGTGTATACATTTACAATTGTATTGGTTAAGATGCAGTGACCTTGGTCCCCCCCTAGTGAAATACTTACACCTTTGACTTCCTGGATGCTTGGGCCCTGCAGGAGGTCATGAGTTTAGGGAGCTCTGGCAGGGCGTCTGCGAGGGGCTGCATGTCTCCCACCACTGGAGTAGCTCTTCTCTTTGCTTGCGCTTTCTGCTGCTCCCTTGCCAGCTTAATGGCACCGATTTCTGAAACACAAGACGGCGCAGATAGCTGATTTAACACTCTGCTGCGCGCTTTTCAGGGAATTCACTGCCTCTCATTTCCCCCTGGCAGAATTAGAAAAGCTAAAAGTGGAAACAACCAGGATGAACTGTTCTTCCCCTATTGGCTTTTTCTTGAACTGTTTGCTCCCCCGCCTCACTGCCATGCCCCATGAAAAACTCTCTTTCCCCTGGCATTAACAGGTTATTTGAAAGCACAGATCCACTAAAGTGAGGAAGAGTACTGGATGGATTTATCCCCTACTCTAGTTAAAGCAAGAAAGCATAAGGAGATAGCAAATTAATTTGGATATTGGAAGCATGGATAGAAAGTTGGCCAAGTTTCAGTGGGTGGTCTTTTCTCATGCCAATGGGGAGTCAATTAGTATGCCTATAGTTTAGATTAATGAGAGAAACAATGAAACATGAAGCTAAACTTCTGTATTACACAAACTAAACAAACGCTCTCTGCAGAAGTAGATAATTATTTATTTACTTTTGCTGCCAAGAAAAACTTTAATGGCTTATCAAGCCTTTAAAGATGCCATTTAAAGTGACTGTTCTCCGAGTCAGGCAGAAGTCGTCTGTTCCATAGTAATTAGAATAAACTGTAAAACCAAAAACTATATACGAATGATTCACGAATATAGTTCCTACACATAACAACCCCCTATTAATCTTTTAGTCAAAAATATCTGAAATGTTTAATTCGTTTTCTTTCACTGTGTGCATAATACACAAGACAAACCTACTTTAAAATTCAGCTTTGTCTCTGGAGTGGTCTCTAGAGAGATTTTAGAGTTCAGATTCATGAGGCCCTCATCCTTTCTAGCTTTTTGTAAGAGTGCTTCAATTAAAACCAAATTATAAAAAAACAGGCCAGGATAATTAAAGATAAATGTTTATGTTTGAAGCATCTGGTATTCACTTTTAAAAAATAGCAGCTCATCTGAACACATTAAAATATATTGCGTTTCCTAGAATATAAAACACTCTGAAACAATGCAGACTTTTGTTCCACCCTTAATTTGCTGAACTGTTAATACCTTTATGAAGAAATTCAAAATGCACAGGTTTTCCATTGTTAGACACTAGACTTTATATCCATATACTAACTCCACACATATCAACACAAATATATAGAGGTTGATTTTTAAATCACATGCTTATAATATTTATTAATTTAGAATACACCAGATTACTTTGGCTTCATTGTTATATGTTGAAAATTGCTAACTTGTTTCAAAACGTTCAAGGTTTTACCATAACCTGCAAGCATGCAACCAAGTTAATGGTCAGCTTTTATCCAGGCACAGCCAGAATATAAATGCTGAGCACAAAAATCTATAGCCTCAGCAGTGTTGTTAAGACATTGGCCTCGGAACTGGAACGTTATGGGTTCAAATCCCAGGTAAGGACACTACTGAGCCATGTACTACATGTACTGTAGACTGCGAAAATAAAATGCCTAGCTTCTGTATATAAATGACGACAAATGCCAAGTCTCTTCGAATATCCATCCATCTTCTAATTGCCTTATCCAATGCAGGGTTGTGGGGGAGCAAGAGTCTATCCCAGAAAGCAAGAGGCACAAGACAAAATACACAAGCATGCTTATGTTCACACCAAGGCCAGTTTTTCCAAAAGACATCTACTCTATCAATATGAAAAGAGAAGAAAGAAAACATAACACCCGAAGAAGGCTCCACAGTCGAAACGTAATGTTTTGCATACGTAATGCATACCCCAGCTTGCTCTCCATGAGACACACAGAGAAGCTTGGGGTCAGAGCGGAGGGTCAACCACAGTACAGCGTGCCCCTGGAGGAGCTGGGGTTAAGGGCCTTGCTCAGGAGCCCAACAGAGTAGGATTCCTCTGCCGGCCACAGGATTTAAACCTTCCAGCCACAGGCGCAGATCCTTAGCTACAGAGCCACCACTCTGCAAAGGCCCCTTTGCAGCCTACACATGCTGACGCAGCTACCCATCTGAACTACTCTATCAATATGTCTGGAAAACCCACGTAAAGGTGGGGAAAACATACAAACTCCAAACCGATAGATAACATGATAATAATTACACAGCATATTAGTACAGTAGGTATGCGAGGATCATTTCACTTGTTACTTCAATAATGGCAGCATAATATACAGCAGCTCTGTCTCCACGCTAGCTATTGTGTCTCTGTTCACTGCAGTACACTAGCTGTAACAACAGCATCTTAATATAGTACATATATAAGGCCTTGAAAAATCATTGAGAAAAGCATTCAATTACACTACCTCAAACACACAAGTTCTAATCAGGGTGTTTCTAATTACATTTATAAATAGAGGAAAATAACTGTGATTCCTAGGGAAGGTTTACATACTACAGTATTAAAAAGAGCTCTTAATCTTATCACAGGGTACTTATGCAATATTGGCATGATAGAATCTCAATTGCCCCCTCCTGACTTTTCTTATTTTCCATTCATTATTTGATTTGAATAACAGAAACAAGTACAGAGGCTGTGTACAAGACACTGTGACAGCAAACTATTTTCAGCTTTGAGCACACAAATACAAGGCTTCACTAACTTCTCATTTTGAGCTGGGTTAAGTGTAATCAAATGAACAGTTTCCTAATGCCTTTTAGCTTAATGACAATTTTCTTACATTTTCTATTAAATCATAAAGGTCACATAAAAGTTTATATATGTACAATATAAACATATTTGTACATGTAATTACAAGGAAACAGTATTTATAAGAAGAGGCCGAGACCTTCTGAATTTCACGTCAAATGATCTCCCTTTCCAAAACAGTCTTTAGTTTTGTTTTCTTCTAGTTCCAGAGCTTTCAGAAAAAAGAACTGAACTCTCTGATTTGCAGGAAATTAAATAAATGCTAGAGGATTGTGTTCTTTATGTACACATAACATAATTTGCAGCGCACAGAAGAAAACTGTTTCTTCCGGTGAGCCTTAGTATTATAAGTAATTGCAGTGGCTATAATTTTGCAATGGAACATGGAAGGCTGAAACTCATATCCCACTGCTTGCTTCAAAATTCACAGTTTACATTTTTAAAGAGAATTCTTTGCCGCAGGACATGGATTCCAATGAAAGTCCAGTACATGCCATGCTGAAAGATTACATCTGGAACAGTGATAATGCTGAATACCAGTTTGATGAGTTTTACACCTGTATAGAGAAGCAAATTTTCATACCATATATGATGGTAAGAATAAGCATTTACTTTGTGTTCAGTACTGGTGCTACTGTATGATGATCCTTCTTGGCAACCTAATTTGCAGAAACAGTACTCCTAGGGAAAGTGCAACAGAATTATAAACAAAACGTCTTGAGGAAAAGCATGCAGTGATGTCATTGACTAGGTAGCTCCACTACAGGCAGCAAACCAACCACACCAAAAAAAGTAATTAGATGAAACTCAAGAAAAAAAAAAGTGTGCAGACCTAAGAACATGTTGCTGAAGAGGGTTTTACTCATTCGTTATGAAATGCACATCTGAGGAAAACAAAAATCAGTAAGTGGGAATGAGGCACAGCAAAGAAGGAAAAAATGTTACTTAAAATACAAGCCCCCTGAAACCATTAATGTGTATTTTAAACATAACTGCAGTTATATCTTACTGCTTTCAGCTTGTATAAAAATCCAGACATTTTAAAACTGTTTCATTTTTTTCAGGAACTATTATACATAGGGTAATTTTAGATGTCTGAACATTTTATTTTTCTATGAAAACAGAACTGAAGTATACAAGATATCCATAAGAAGGCAGCTCCAACCCCCATAATATGTCTTTTGAGGAAACAGTTTGTGGTCAGGTTACATTCTTCAAAGTACAATATCAATTACTTTCTGCATATTTTGACTTGGTCATTAAATTAATTTCTGTTGACAGCACTGTTTATTACAACCATATTAAGGGCTCATAGTAGCCTCCTGCATGAAGGCCTTAAAAATCTAAGATCAAAGGAGAAGGGAAATATTCAGGCCAGATGTCAGCAGTTCTGATACAAAAAAAAACACCTTAACAGGTGAAAATTTAGTTACATGAAATTTTATAGCTCTAATTTAAATCCTTACTCAGACATTAGTTTGTACTTGAAAAAAGCTGAAGGTTGATTAAATTAATGTACTCAACGTTGGTACCACAGCATAAGATTTTGTCCAAGGTCCCATGTTAGAAAGTTTCAAATTTTGAGAAAGCATTTCGGTTTACAGCTCATTAATGGATCAATGACAAAACATACAGAAATCTAGTTGCATTCAGATTGGAGCCTGTCAGGAAACATCGAGTGATGCACTGTCAAGCAGAAAATCTTTCCTGTTCATCATGTTATCCTCTAAATAAACAGAAGACATTGTTAAAAAAACTCAAGAATAGAAAGAGTTATACTGATTTCTGTTTAGTTCATGCAGCAACAAAATCTAGATCCATTTTGCTTCCCAATATGTGTTTATATTACTTAACATTTTATTGTTGATTGTAGTATCAAAAGAATCAATGATATATGAATCCATGTATGTGATCTATGCTACTCATATTGCTATGCTTATCTACCTTCAAAATATCAAAAATACTACAGAGAATAAAGAGCAGAAATAGAGGATAATTTTTCCCAAGCCCTGATTCTGGCATCTGGAGCAATTATACAAATAAACATGATCCATGTTTTTCTTCCCTAAAGGCACTCTACAGCAACCCCTATTAGGAAACAAGCAAATCCATAAGAAATTCAACAACTCTGGGATCTGTTTGATGTACTTAGATTTCAACGCATTAAAATGTACATTAATTCTAATCTTAAAGGGAACACCAAAAGCAAACCCACATGTTTTTTCTCTCAGCTCTGAGATCCTATACATATCCCACAAAACCACAGTCTAGGATGTACCCAGTGTTTTTGTCTGTCTTCTGAGATGAGTTAATTTTTTTCAATATGTTAACAAAGAATACGATTTCACTTACTTGTGAACTTAAATCCCCATGACAAAAATGGAACATCAGATCTGTAGTTAGCTACTAAGGTTTAATTCAATAATTCCAGACTTAAAAAAATATTTATGTCTAGCGTTACTAAAAACAGAGTGACCATAGAAAACTGGAAACAGGCAGATGCCACAGGGTGGATATCTAGATGTGGAGCTATGTATCAGTAGCGATTCATAACATTCAATAATGCTCCAAATTCTGTGCATGGGAAGTAAGAATATTCTGAAGGAGTCAATAATGTTTATGGAAATTTAGAACATTCAATAATGCTCTGAATTGTGTGCACGATTATTTCGAAGGAGTCAATAATGTTGATGGAAGGAGGTATTTTATTGCAGCTTATTTGGACGGAATGTGTTCTTCATAAAAATTCTGTTTGACAACAGCTGCTATTCGCTGAACAGAACAGCGAAAGATTTCACAGAAAGGCAGCTCTGGATTGTCTAAAAAATAAAAAATATAAATTGTAGATAGGAAGATCTTAACCCAAGTACCTAAAATCTAGCAGAAAAATACCTTTGCATAATGAAGGTTAATAATACATCCTGATCATTTGCAGTTGTATAATGCTTTGCATCCCAAAGATTTTGAAAGCTGAGATATGAAGTCGCAATTCTGAGTTTTTAAGTCGGCATTTTGATTTTTTAAGTCGGAATTCTGAGTTTTTAAGTCGGAATTTTTAGTTTTTAAGTCGGAATTTTTAGTTTTTAAGTCAGAATTCTGAGATATGAAGTTGCAATTCAGAGTTTTTAAGTCAGAATTCTGAGATATGAAGTCGCAATTTGGAGATATAAAATAGCAATTTTGAGTTTTCAAGTCGCAATTCTGAGTTTTTAAGATAGAGATAGATAAAACTTTATTGATCATGTAGGGAAATTGATGTGTTACAGCAGTCCAGCCCAAGACAAGCAAAAACAGACATCAGAATAGATGAAAAGTTATACAAAATAAATATAAAATAAATAAATAAAAATAAATACACAGGTGTGTGCAAAATATGATGCTCATAGTCACTGTAAAAACAATAAAATATGTGCAAAAAGTGCATAGGTTTATCCAGATTGATTGTCCAAAAAGTACAATGGAACAACATGCTGTCCATAGACAAGCAAATGAAGGGCTAACAGTCCTGCCTAGGGCAGCATTATACACCCTGACAGCCGCCGGGAGGAAAGACCTGCAGAAACGTTCCGTTGAACACTGTAGCTGGAGCAGTCTGTTGCTAAAAGTGCTCCGCTGCCCAGTAACAGTCCCATGAAGCGGATGAGAGGCGTTGTTCATGATGTCTGTGAGCTTGGTCAGCATTCTCCTCTCAGCCACCACCGCCAGGGGGTCAAGGCTCAGCCCCAACGCAGAGCCAGACTTCTTGATAAGTTTATTGAGCCTATTTGCATCTCTTGTCATGATGCTGCTGCCCCAGCACACAACAGCGTAGAAGATGGCCGCTGCCACCACTGATTCATAAAAAATGTGTAGCAGTGTTCCACACACACCAAAGGACCTGAGCTTCCTAAGAAAATAGAGTCAGCTCTGACCTTTCTTGTACAGGGCGTCAGTGTCACCAGACCACTCCAGCTTATCATCCAGGTGTACCCCTAAGTACTTGTAGGACTTTATAAGTCGCAATTCTGAGATATGAAGTCGTAATTCTGAGGTTTTAAGTCACAATTCTGAGATACAAAGTCGCAATTGTGAGATTCCATAGCTCGTTTTTTTTTACACCCTGGCGGAAACAGGCTTCCATATCTGCTTTACACCTTGCAGCAAAAAACAAGCAATGCAAATCGAGAAAATTGGAACAAAGAACCAGAAAAGTAGAAAGCGTGGGCACCTAAAATCCTTCTAAGCGCAATATTATTTTAAAGTGAATTGTAAATACATTCAGTATTTTCAAAGGATCCAAAATTACCTCAAACCTTTTTATTAACCATTAGGGCAGCATTACACCACTAATATAAATGGCACATTTCCAGGCAATGAGTCAAGCTGTCACTAAAAAGCAGTAATGTATTTTTAACTAATGTATGAAATCGAGAATGGTACAAATGAAGGAACTGATGTCTGATTTGCCGTTGATTTTGCAGTGTCTCATAAAAAAATAAAACACCATTAGTTTCCAATTATACTCATACAGGATGCACTTTCAGTTACGAGAAATTGATTTAACGAGGAGATCTGGTTTCCTAAGATCAGAATTAGATGAGTGGTGCTGGTTGGAAAGTTGTAGGTTTTAATTACACAAAATACAGCCAATGCTGGCTTATTGTATTTAGGATTCGATACAACCAGGTTTTGCAGTCCTAGAATGAGCATGCAGAAGCCCTTGAGAGTAAGGTTTCCTTCATCTAGAAACTTTTTATATGAAAGTAATTAGCATTTTTATAAAAACAGAATAGACTGGAGAAACCACATGATGCAATCACCGAATAAAAAAACAGTGATCACTGTGAAATGTTTCAGACAAAATGTAGGCGCAGCAAATGAAGATACTGGAGACAGTTCCATAACATTCTTCAAGTCCATCTCAATATCTCCAGCACTGCTGTTGTCTATTGAACATAATTTTGCCCAGCCTTTTTCAAAGTACATGTGTAAACCAGGAACAAGATTGAGTTTATGTGTTTAATAAATACAGTATAAAGACGAGAGTTTTGTTATGTTTTTGTATGGTTTTACATCATTGTAGTGTATTTCAAATTCTGGCATCCCGTAGAATCATATTTAAACATCTCCTCCGGCATATCTGATGATTTGTGTATTTCAAGACAAAGTGTTAATTAAGGCCTCATGAGGAAAAACAGCAGGTGGGATTGTCAGCTGTGAGGATCATCAAAGACTCCTACACCTTTGTGGCTCCGCTTCTCTAGTTTACTTTGAACTTCAGAGAAACAGGAGTTTTCTGGGTTTCGCATCACGCTTACAGGTTTTCACAAACACATGAAATGAAATCAATAAACAAAAGCTTGTATACTCAAGTAAATATTAAAAAGACCCGCAGGAAACTAAACCATAATCAAACTCACTTAAAACATCTACAATTAATTTCTGTCACATGTAAATTCTGTAGATTATGGTAAAGGTTAAGTTAATAACAGTGTCCCATCAGGCCATAGGTTAGTCTGGTTACCGTAGCGTTAAATGGACAGGAGAGGGTCCCCCCTCATATGGGAAGCAGGTTCAATGCCTCCCAGTAATGCTGGTTTCCACTTATACACCAGGGTGGACTGAATGAACTGAGATAAAGTAGCTCATACAGGGGTAGCTACAGCAGAGTCTGCAGGGAGTACTTGAACCTACAACCTGTCAGTTATGAGCCCAAAGGCTTACCCATTTAACTACACTGCCCTCTTCAAGGCTATACTGTATATGTACATCAACTTAATGTGAAAAGCTAAAGAACATTTTGTTGATGTGGAGCCAAGTGAATAAAAAATAACTGAAGAGAATCTTAAAAAGCAAACAAGGTCTTAATGTCACACAATTATAACTTTTTACAACAACCATGATATAATTAGTGGAAAGTGTAAACAAAAACACCAAAAAAAGGATAAAAGTTTATAAAAAAAACTGATAATGAGAAGTTTAAAGGCTCTTATCCTGAAATTAACGCGTGACTTTGAGACAGTACATTCCAACTATAAGCATAGGTGAAAACTGAGAGGATGTGTATGTAGGACTTAAAATAGGGGAAATGCACATCTGTTGTACAATTAGTTGTGTAATGTGTTTAGAACAAACTACCTAGCAATGTTTCTGAAGACGATATCCTGGGATCCTTCAAAACATGGCAGATAGGGGTAGCAGTGTGAAGCAGTGGTTAGGGTCCTGGGCTTCTAATGAAGGTTATACATTCAAATGAGGCACTGCTGTTGTACCCTTGAGCAGGATATTTCACATGAATTGTTCCAGTTACTCAGCTGTATAAATGGAACCAAATGTAAATCTTTTAGACAAGTAAATATACAATATTTAATATGAATCCTTAGGTGTACAATATCTATTAATCAAACAAGCAAAAATAAAATTCCTCCTCTTTTTTGTAATTTTTTTACGTTATTAATTATTAAGGCACACTATCCTTGTTATAGAGATTTAAATTGAAATCAATGCATTTCAAATATATAAATGAGATTTGCTTTATCACGCGGTATAGCATCTTTTTGTTCTTCCTAGCAACTGGCTCGTTACAATGTATCTGAATGACAACGGAAAAGTTACTCACTGCCCAGCCACCTATCTCGACGCTGTTTCATCTTCTCCTTCTTCGATATCTGCTTCTTCTCTTCAACTCCTGTAAACAACACACACATCAGAACCACTGTTCAACTATCACATAGACGCGGGCTTTCTTCACAAGAACTGGATCAAATACACAAGTTTTCAAATGTTAATGCTTTTAATGATAAAAAGAGTTATTTGGCTTTGAACCTCTCTAGAAAAACAAAATATTTTTCAACACTACTGTATTAAATATTTTTGAAAGATTTCCTCAAATATTTTTAAAACAATTACAGCTCTTAAAGCCTAAACATTGTTTCTTTTTACTTTTCAGTGTGAAATTTACCTTTACTTCTTCCTTCATACATAACATGCTCGTTTCAAATAATAATTTGTATATCACTGTATTTCAAATACTTTGAAAAGATGCTTTGCATGTTAAATATTGCAGTACTTTCAACATGTATTTCCAAATAATTTCCAGGACTAAAAAACACTGTATTTGGAAATAGGTCTTACTGTACATTAACTACTTTAAATGAATACATGATACAGGTCTGGTCACAGGACACAAGGTTCTACAAATGTGACTGGAGCTTATTAGTGGAATTATTTTGTTAACAAAACCCATAGTTCCATGTCGGATAGCAAATGAATTTTTCAATCATTTTCAGTGTTTCAGTGTCACTGAATGTATTAGAAAAGCAAAAACAAGGTTTCGAAGAGGATGATTAAGATATTCATTCAATTTGTTTTGTTTCTGACAAAAAACTGCACTGAGAACCTACTGACTGAACTGTTAAAATATTAAGGAGAGCTGAGTTTTTTTCCAGCACATAAGTTTGATCTACTGCAATATCTTATCCAAAAACAGAAAAAAAGAGGCTGAAGATCCAGCCAAATAATTTGATCAATAAAAAAAGTACAAAAAGAAATTAAATAATGTGCTGATACAACCATGAAAGAGATTTCCAGATGAGCCTGCCTAGAAAAAAAAAACCCATCAGGGTAATTCTCCAATTTACAAAAGCTGCTGGTCATTTCCTTTGTATTACAACTCCGTGGAAGAACTTCAGAGAACTGTGATTTTTGATAAGAAAGGTATGTCAGAATCAGAAACCTTAAGAGCCAGACTGAAGAACTGATGGTTTGAAAATTCAGGGGAATAAAAGCCAGACCATATTTCAACAAGTGTTTTCACATCCTTTTTAAACTTCATTGGACATTCAGGTACCTCCTGTTTCTCTCCCCAAAAACAAGCACTTCCTTTTATAACTTAGAAAGGAATGTGCTTGGACCCTGGTGCCAGCTTCAACTTCAACGTGTATGAAGGACATCCTTGCCACTCAGCATGATGGAGTGTAAAGAGTATCTCTCTCGTCATGGCTGACGCCACGGCAGACCCACAACAAAGAGGTTCCCATCCCTGCCCTTCCTGACAATCTGGCTTTCACTGTTGCTCCTTGGATCTGGAGAGTAAAGGTTATCACAGCGATAAGAGGTTTCCTATGGGAAAATAAGTCCCACCTTCTGCAAAATTCCAGTCTGCTACTGTGCAGCACTAGATTAGGGTTTTTGTGCATATATTCAACACAGAAATGAAATACAGCAAAAGATGGACTTGTACATTTCCCGATTCAACTACATTATGCATGATTAGCGATACAGCTTATAATTACAGATATTTTTAGCTTTACTACGTCATTGTTAAAATTCAGAAACACATAGACCAAAAGTACATTGTACTAACACTTAGCCTGCCTCGATTAGATACGTAGCACAGAAGTTATAAAGAGAAATACACAAAAACCATAAAACAGATCACTGAATACGCCAGGATGAAATACTATCATCGATAACATACAGTATACTTCATGTGATCTCATAATATCACGTGCAATCATAATGGCTGGAAATGACATTGCATATTTCTCACAATTTTATACACATTGATATTGTGTCACTGTGTTAAAGCATGTTGTAGTTCACCCAGATCAGCTGGTAAGCAGGCGCATTGTCCCAGTTGTGTCCCTATCTTATCCTGCAGGTTTAGGTGTGGGAAACATATTGACAAGCCAAACGTCTCATAATAATAAACTTTATTTGATATAGCACCTTCAAAAGTAGCATTTCAAAGGACTTTACATGTAAAATAGTTAAAGGAACAGCAAATAACAGAATAAGCATATAAGAACACAAGCAGAAAGAGGTGTAGCAGAAGATACATGGCCATTAGAAAATGGAGCTGACACCGACACTAATTAAATTCTGAGAGAAAGGTTTTAGTGTTCTCTAGTGTCCTCGAGTCCATCCAAGGTGATGGCATTGCCATTCATAATTTTAGTGACTTTATAACAATAATCTAATTCTTAGGTCATAGTCATTCACAGTATGTCTTTTACTTACACCTCCACACCCATGTTCAGACCTGTTATATCAACATTCATCTGTAAAAAACAAACAACTATCATTGATTCCAGTCAACAATCACATGCCTACCGCAACTTCTCTACCATATTATGTTTCGTACCAGCATCTTAGCTGTAAGACCACATACAGTACATGTACAGTAGATGGTTAAGTTTGGAGCATTTGTTTATGACAAAGGACACAACGTCTCAGTAACATTTACGCTGCATGCTAGTTCTTCTTCCATGATGGGTTCTTATTTATTCATACAGCTTGTGTTCTTCTAATAACTTCAGTTAATGGATTACATTTACAATCCTATGCCTCTGTATACTTTTGGTTTTGACCCTAACTAAGGAAATGTTGTGTTACTGTGTAGCAATTGCCACAATTGCTATATCCATCTAACTCTTAGCTTCATTATTGCAATGCCATGCTTTCTGGTGTTTACAAACATGCTCTAACTTTCCAGAATGTACAGAACTCAGGAGCTCAAATCTTTAATAAATGTAAAATGCACATTTCATCTGTTTTAGCTTTGCTTCACTGGTTCCCTGTGGATCTACTACTGCTGCTCACTTCGTCAGCCCCTGACTACATTAATGAACTTTTAATTCCCTATACACCTACACAACATTTGCTCTTTGGAATCTGGAATTTGTCAGATCCCAGAACGAGGCTTGAAACTCTGGGAGATCATGCTCCCAGTTCTACTGCTCCAAGACTGCGGAATGATCTCTAAGCTCACAACATGTCTTGCAAAAGTCAGCACTTTCATAAAGCATCTGAAAACTCACTTGTATACTCTATCTTTTAATCGTGTTTAATTTTTTAATTTACTGTATCTGTGTATAAATGTTTCTATAACTGTCTCTTAATAAAAAGATTATTATTATATTGTTTTATGACTGTATTAAGGGATGCTTTTCTCTGTTGCAGCTGTATGACCTATTTGTACTCTTAATTGGTTGGGGTTTTTCACATCTGGATTTTATTAATAATAATTCCTATCTGGAAATTATTCAACGGAAAAACAAAACTGCAATGAATTATACTTCCAATTTGATAGAGAATCCTATACTGCATTTACTTTTATGTTTTTCATGGTAATGACTTAGTTTTTAAAATTCCTGTTAAAAACGATTATTTTACCAAAATCATTGTGCTAGATATGAGTAACACTCATTATTCAAAAAGATGCTTTCAGCTACATATGATTAAGAGTCATTACTAAAAAAAATGGTCTCAGCTACTTATGCTTTGTCCACTTTAGGATCTGACTGTTACTGATGAATAAAGTAACAGCTAAGTCAGGTCAAGGTTACACAATGAATGGTTGAGATCCTTAGATCAATTAACTATTAAAACCTTAAAGAGCCAGATGTGCCAATTGTTTGCAAAACCTCATTATGTCTAAAACGGAGAGAAAATACCACTGTCAGGTCTTAAGTCTAAATTGCAAAAGAAGAAAAAAACAACAGGTACTGTAAATGTAAAAGCAAACAAGACTATTTGAAATGGAACTGTGCAGATGCTTTTGTATAAAAAAGTAGGTGTGGAAAAACCTACTGAATGGCTTAAAAAAACACCCACAACTGTGCAAAGCAGTTATTAAAATAAACTGTGTTTTTAATTAAATGTTCAGACATTGTCTGGAAACAATCAAGTCATTTATTGTTTTGTTAGTCGGTCAAAAAAGCTTACTGCAGAAGTTTTACAAAATTTTGTTTTTTTTCCAGCACAGCAGCATCCAGGGTTTGGATGAATGTTTTTCCACAATTATAAGTAACATTTTGTCATTTAATTTGTTAAAAGGCATGATAAAATCAATATGATGGTATTTGATATGACTTTCGGAAAGGAACAGTCAGGTTTTTTTTTCTATTTATAGATCACTAATGGGGTTGGTTTTGTAATTAGTGATGCACACGTCCTTGACTGTCATGTCTAGGTGTATAGAGTAAGCTGGCACTGCAGAACGAGATAAGAATACCATTATAGGTAGGCCCTTTTCTTACAAATTTATATAATTTCTTATGTTATTTCAAATGTTATGATGACCATGAGTTTAAATTTTACTACAGAATTATAAGATATCTTAGATTATGTTTTTTCTTCCTTTTAATAAGATATCATTTGTATTTTAATAAGTGGAGCTTTGGTGTTACCACCATTTAGAGTACTGGACAACAAACTTTAGACATCAAAGTATTTCCGTGTATCTACTGAAACAGACTTAAAGTGATTACAAACAAACAAATAATCAATAAATAAAACTGCATGCTTCCAGGACTATACATTTTAAACAAATGTCTTAAAAGGTCTAAATAAGACAGATACTTAAAATGTTTTGGACAACACAATATGCAGTTTGTTACTCTTAATACAATAAATCAGATCGAGTAAATGCAATCTGTTTTATGGTTGAAGTCATACATGTTGTCCTGGACAAAGGTTTTTATTGTTTCAAAAACAAACACAAAAAAAGATGAAGAAGAAACAGATTACAGAACCTTCTTTGTTGTAAGTCAATGAGGAAAAAAAAACAGAAAGCACGAAAGGAGACTTGGTTAAAGATGTTTCAAAATTCAATTTTTGTACTCTAATTCCATTGTGTGTAACAGGTGATATCCCATAGCAACCTGCCGCTTTAGGGGTTTCGAT